AGACCGTGATGCCTGTTTTTCGCCGTACCTTAGACAATATCCTATTACCATGTGTGCATCAGCCAACAACCACAGACCATGTACCACTTGTTATCCAGTATCTGTGACTCATCATGGATGGATTTTAAGTTTGGTTCCCAGTGCCTCTCACACCCACCCTTCCTTTCACGTGCCATTCTCATCTACTGACTCTTCAGAAGTCAGCCTCCTGATGTACCTGCTTTTCCCTTGCATCTGTGATCTTCCTTCTCATGACGGCACAAACTTTTCCCAACCTGATTCATTTCCTGTTTTCCCCATTTCCTTCCCCTTTACTCCCCACTACTCCTCTGCATGTCCTACTGCCCTGAAGCAGACTCTACACTTCTGTCATTTTCAGGACCCTGCAGGCTTCTGCATGAGTGTAGTTTCTAAAGGAGAAAATTACAACTTACAACCAAAGGCCAAGGAACTGGAGGGAGACACAACTTTACTTTCTTCAGAAACAGCAATGCTTATAGATTTGTTTATAGTTTGTAAACTATTATCAGAAATAGTAATGTCTATAAACCACTTACTTTAAGAGTCAATTGGGAACTATGAGGGTGGTAATAACAGGAGAAATCTTACAAAAATTAACCTGGATGTTATGCTTGCTCTAAGATTAAGTCACTTAGGGAAACAAATTCAGATTGTCCAGTGGCTTAACCCTCCTTCCTTCCTTTTGTGATGGCTAGGTTGTAAAGAGGAGTGTCTTCTGCCCTGAAGGTAGCAGTAGTATGGTGGGTGCCTACAGGTCAGTTATTGGTTTAGAAGAGATTCAGGTTCTTAACGTCTACCTGTGCTTCCCAGGAGCAGGGACACTTTCTTTCTCAGCCTGTGTGAGGACCACATGAGCTCAGAAAGTGTTCTCAGGCCACTGGGTGCCCATTCTCAGTGTTAGGAACAGGAAGATCCTGGTTTCCTGGCAGAATTTATGGATCCTACAGCTTTCTCTCCATCAAACTTTAAGCCACAGTAAGACAGGACTCTGCAGTCACAGGCACAACCAGAAGGAGGTCAGTATCCTTGTGCTGACTCCTGTTCCTGGACATGGGTCTTAAGATCCAGTAGTTAGTAAGTCTGTTGCTAAGTCGGAGACTGGCTGGGTCTCCCCACAGAAGAAAGCTCTAAGGAACACATACACGCGGACCTAAGGAACTGATATGACAGGTCTCCTACACACTCATAATACATCTCTTCCTTCCTGTGATCAGAGACCTACTTTTGTGTGTACTGTCTGATGACGGGTGAGGGCAGAGTTCTTAGTGAAGCTTTTCTCACAGTGAGAACACCTGTAAGGCGTTTCACCAGTGTGGGTTTTCCGGTGGGCGCCGAAGTGGGAGCTATTGTTGAAGCTTTTCCCGTACTCTGCACACTTGTATGGGCTCTCCCCAGTGTGGGTGCGCCCGTGAGCACTGAACTGGGAACTGTTGTTGAATCTTTTTCCACAGACAATGCACTGGTAAGGCTTCTCCCCTGTATGGGTCCTGTGGTGGACAATGAGGCTGGAACTCTGGTTGAAGCTTTTCCCACACTGCCCACACTGGTAGGGCCTCTCCCCCGTGTGAGTTCGTAGGTGGGCAGTGAGGTTGGAGCGCTCACTAAAGCCTTTCCTGCACTCATTGCACCTGTGAGGCTTCTCGCCTGTGTGGATTCTCTGATGTCGAACAAGATAAGACCTTCGGCTAAAGGTTTTCCCACATTCGGGACACTGAGATACTTTTTCCAGTTCGAGTGCTGGCTTGTGGGGAGAGTGCACACTCTGAGAGCAGTTTTTCCCACACAGGATATGTGTACAGACTTTGTCCCTGGCACAAAAACTCTGGTGACTCATCTCCTGGGATGGGGGTTTCTCCTCACTCTCCCCTGGTGAGTTTCTGCATTGCCTTCTTGATGCAGGCTCACTCTCCAAGTCCTTCTGTAGCTCAGAGTGCCAAAAAACTTCTCCTCTAGACTTTCTCTGTAAAGCCTTGTTCATTTCTACTTCCTCCAAATCATCCCATTTTAGATTTTCTATCTCATTCTTGATCTCAAAACCTGAAAGAAAAACCCACAGAAATCCAATAGACTATAGAGAAGGAAAACAATGTAATGCAAAGAGTTATAATTACACTATATAGAAGAAACATCTAATTGAAATTCTTCATAAGATTAAGTCTCCTGCTAACAGCTTTTTATTTTCTAATTGTAATATTTTTGAGGCCGGGCGTGGTGGCTCAGGCTTGTAATCCCAGCACTTTGGGAGGCCAAGGCAGGTGGATCACGAGGTCAAGAGATCAAGACCATCCTGGTCAACAAGGTGAAACTCCGTCTCTACTAAAAATATAAAAATTAGCTGGGCATGGTGATGTGCGCCTGTAGTCCCAGCTATTCAGGAGGCTGAGGCAGGAGAATTGCTTGAACCCAGGAGGCAGAGGTTGCAGTGAGCCGAGATCATGCCATTGCACTGGGTAACAAGAGTGAAACTCCGTCTCAAAAAAAAAAAATTTTTTTTTGAGCTCCAAATCATTACAGGAAAATTATGCCCTAAACTCCAACTTTTATCCTATCTTTTTTTGGATGTTCTGACACAATGACAAACTGAGGCAAGGCATCAAGCTCTGTGTCACCTGCCAGTCTTTTTATAGGTATACTCTCAATTCTTGAGTAATCTAACTTCTGCCAGCAGAACAACAAAAGGCAACCCTGGGTTTGGCCAGCTCAAACAGGAAGAAAACAAGGTGCTAAGTTCCCAGCCGGCACACACTCAGGCTGTAAAAGGCATTGTCGTGCTAGAGAACGAGGGAGAAGATGGAACCTGGTCTGGAGGCCTAACCAGCAATGTGAGGATGCAAAGTACTGAAACTCAGAAAAGATGACATGAACTTAGTGAAAAGTTGGAAAATGCAAAATCAGGGCTCTTTATGCAAGGGGAATCATCTTTAAACTCCGTGAAAACTAAAACTGCTGATTTAGGCAGGGTCACACATCCAGATGATGATGATGATGCCAGGCTCAGTGACGGCTCCCACTTGACTGCTAGGCTCGTGGCCTCCAAGGTGGACTTTCTGATCCTTCGACCTTCAGAGTCAGGGGAGTCTTACCAAGTCTGTGTGGGAACAGCACTGGCAGGTCAAGTCTCCTGACTTCCTGGCCAGGATGGCTTCAGTCCTCTTCATCCCTGCCTGCGCCATCCACAGGGCCATCTTCTACCACTGTGGGCCCCCTGTTCTGCCGACTCAGCTCTCCAGCCTCGGTATCACTTCCTTCTTGCCATAGGAGGGCCAGAGGCCCAGGGGTTTGAGAAAGCATCCATTGCCTCACAAAAGACACAAGGCTCAGGCACACAGCCTCTCCTCACTTTGCAGTAACTCAACTGTAGGCTTTTGAACTTGGTTCGACACTGTTCTGGGGTCCGCAGAAAGCCCTGCTCCCACAGTCGTTCCGCCATGGCCCTGTAGATCTGGCTGTTCTGCTGACAGGTCTGGAGTTTTCCATAAAACTGAGAACTACTAAGAACAGCCAGAAGTGTCCTGGTCTCTTCACAGCCCCAGGGCACACCTGTTGCTGGGAGACAAAGAAGAGGTCGATCCGATCTGTCAGTTAGATCAGGGAGGACTGTACATACTGCAGTTCGGGGTTTTAGCAGCTTAAAAAGTTACATCCTGGTTTCTCAAAGTATGCCACAACTGGCTACTGTTATTTCTAGGAAGAAATCTCACTGTGGCCTTTTTTCTCAAACGTGAGAACTTTAGTATAATACAAAAGGCATTCCCTCCACTGAGAAGGACTTGTAGGGTTATTTACTAAAGCTGCCTTTGTAATTTTTCTTTAATTATCCTCAATCCTACTCATTTCCCCTTGCCTGCCTTGACAGCTGTGGGACTTCCTGAGGGTGGCCACATAAGAGGACACAGTGAAGAGGTGATGCTCAGAGGAAAGCAAAGATTCAGAGAGAGGAACTGGTTTTAAGGATAGATATGCCTGTTCCCTCCCCGATACAGGAATACCTCCTCATCTGGCCCATCTCTGTCTGTTTATATCTCCTGTCATACTTGTAGATACAAGAAACTAAATGACAGCAGTTAACAAACCAAGGTAAGAGTAAGCAGTAAACACCTGAGAAGAGCAGTTCACGATGACTGGCTACTCAAGTCTCACCACACACTCCTGCTGCCCATCTGGGCCAGTTCGTGAGGACTGATTTCACTAGAGCTGTCCCAACAAGTGCATTCCAACATCTGGTAGTGATGCTCTGAAGGGCGCCAGCCTCTTCTTGTCACCCCCTACTCCACACTGAGCTGCCACCGCCTTATGCCTAGATCACTGCCAGAGCCTATGTGGTCCTCTTGCTTCCACTCTGGACCTCCTACTTTGAACCCAGCAGCCAGAGGGAGTCCCCTCCTTTGTCATTCAATTCAACTACCACCCTCTGAGGGCCTGCAACGCCAGTTCCTGAGAAATGTGAATAGAAATATGACATGAACCCTGCCTTCAAGGTCACAGTCCTGTAGAAGTCTCTACACCAAAGAGACACAAACAAATGTTTACATAAAGTGCCAAATAAAGTCAAATACTCAAAGTGGTCTTTTTAAAAATATTACTCCACCTTGCTCCAGCCCGAGCCATTTTGTCTGTCTTACACCTTTCCTCCATGTATGACATGGCTGCAAGGCTCATCTCTCCTCCTCCTGCAAGTCTTTTCAAATGTCATTTTCTCATTGAAGGCAACCCTGAGGACCCACACTGAAAACTGCAAACCAGCCTCTGCTCCTTCTCTCCCATCGTGCTTATGGCCCTCATACGTCTTCTGCCGCTTACTGATGATGCTACGGTCTGTCCCTTCCCACAGGGCAGCAATCTTTATCTGTCTTTTCACTGTTGTATCCCTAATGACCTAGAACTAGGCCTGAGATACTGCAGGCACTAAATTAATATTTGTAGAAAGAATGATTTGTCCTCCCCATTCTCTGTCTCAGTTCTTATCTCTCATCTTTCAGGATCCTGATCTTGAAGGACAGCTTCACTGGATATAGAAAAAAGAAAAAAAAAGGATCCTGAATGATTGACAAGAAACCCAAAGTGTGTAAGGAATACAAGCTGTCATTCAATAAGCCTAATGTTGTAGAAATTAAAGTTACGGGTCCCATGACATGAATTAATTAACTCAGGACAGATTAATCCACAGAGACAGAATGAAGACTGGTATCTGCCACGGGTTTGCAGGGGGAGGATGGGGAGAAACTGCTGGATGGTTGTAGGAGCTTATTTTGGAGTGAGGGGAGGTTCTGGAACTGGATAGAGGCGGTAATCACACAACACTGTTAATGTGCTGGAAGCCAAAGAATTGTTCACTTTACGGTGTTAACTTCATGTCATGTGAATTTCAACTCAATAAGTTAAAAACCCAGGTTCAAAAATAAAAGAGCCTTCAAGGCTCTTTCATATCTCACCTTATTATATTATCTATGTATATTTAGTAATACAAATCTCAATACAGAGCTCAAAAAGACATTGTACTGTCCTGCAACTGGACAAGATGAGGTGCAGGAGAAGCCCGAAGAAGCAGCAAGAACGGCACATGCTGAGGCCAGAAAACCAGGAGTTCCTGGCAAAGGAGGGGAGGGATGGCAGAGACAGAGCAGGGAAAACCACAGATCACAGGAAACCAGGAGTTCCTGGAGGGATGGCAGGGGACGGAGCAGGGAAAACCACAGATCACAGGAAACCAGGAGTTCCTGGCAGGGGACAGAGCAGGGAAAACCACAGATCACAGGAAACCAGGAGTTCCTGGCAGGGGACAGAGCAGGGAAAACCACAGATCACAGGAAACCAGGAGTTCCTGGAGGGATGGCAGGGGACAGAGCAGGGAAAACCACAGATCACAGAAAACCAGGAGTTCCTGGCAGGGGACAGAGCAGGGAAAACCACAGATCACAGGAAACCAGGAGTTCCTGGCAGGGGACAGAGCAGGGAAAACCACAGATCACAGGAAACCAGGAGTTCCTGGAGGGATGGCAGGGGACAGAGCAGGGAAAACCACAGATCACAGGGAACCAGGAGTTCCTGGAGGGACGGCAGGGGACAGAGCAGGGAAAACCACAGATCACAGAAAACCAGGAGTTCCTGGAGGGATGGCAGGGACAGAGCAGGGAAAACCACAGATCACAGGAAACCAGGAGTTCCTGGAGGGATGGCAGGGACAGAGCGGGGAAAACCACAGATCACAGGACACCAGGAGTTCCTGGAGGGATGGCAAGGGACAGAGCAGGGAAAACCACAGATCACAGGGAACCAGGAGTTCCTGGAGGGATGGCAGGGGACAGAGCGGGGAAAACCACAGATCACAGGAAACCAGGAGTTCCTGGAGGGATGGCAGGGGACGGAGCGGGGAAAACCACAGATCACAGGGAACCAGGAGTTCCTGGAGGGATGGCAGGGGACAGAGCGAGGAAAACCACAGATCACAGGGAACCAGGAGTTCCTGGAGGGATGGCAGGGACAGAGCAGGGAAAACCACAGATCACAGGGAACCAGGAGTTCCTGGCAGGGGACAGAGCAGGGAAAACCACAGATCACAGGAAACCAGGAGTTCCTGGCAGGGGACAGAGCAGGGAAAACCACAGATCACAGGGAACCAGGAGTTCGTGGAGGGATGGCAGGGGACAGAGTGGGGAAAAACCACAGATCACAGGGAAGGGCAACACTGTGGAGTGAGGCAGGGGCAGTGTCACAGGGCCTGTGTTCAGAGCCTTGTGTAGCCCCTCCCACCCTGGGCTTGGCCATGTGACTGACTGTGTCTGGCCAACACAGTGCCAGCAAAGGCTCAGCAAGCACTTGCACACAGAGGCTGCTCCTCCCGGAACGTGGGAAAGTACCATGAGCCTGCACCCACCTGAGCCCCAGCTGAGCTCCTAGCTGGTGGCCGCCATCATCTGCCAGCCAGGTGACAGGCCATGCTGGATCTTCCGACCTCAGCACCTCAGCCAACATCTTGAAGCAGCAGAACCACTCAGTTGACCCACAGAGTGGTGAGAAATAATGGCTTTCGGGTGGTTTGTGTGGCAGCTGTAGCACAGTACTGGTTACCGCAGATCACAGGGAACCAGGAGTTCCTGGAGGGGTGGCAGAGGACAGAGCAGAGGAGGGATGGCAGGGGACTGTGTGGCAGTCATTTGCATGCGTTCTAAGCTGCAGTGGAAGCTGATTCCTAATGATAACCTTTTGAGTTCAGTCACCGGTCCAGGGCATCACGCGGCACTGCTCACCCAGCGTAACAGCGTCTTCATCCTTTATGTTCTGTTAACAAAATCTGGATATAACACCTACTCAGATAATTCACTAGTTTGGAAACGGAAACACACCTGGCTTTGGCTTTCAAATTTCACACTGAAAAGATAATACTCTGGGTGACCCAGACAACCTAAGAGTAGATGCTACTTTCCCTGTATGTCACCTGCACATGGTAAAACGAACTGCTTTTACCCCAACAATGCCCCCAGTGTGGAGGTGTGGTTTACATAAAGGCAATCAGTACCAGGACACAGGGGCAAAGAGGTCCTCGCCCCACGGGCTCTGGAGCGTGGGGTGGCAGGGAGGGCTCCCGGCTGCCTGGCCTGTCTACTTGTCATCAGTTTGGGGGCTAACTGTGTCCTCTCTTGTGCCCAGATCCTCCACCTCTTTCTGAGTCCATGGCCCCTGGCCTGGCCCTTTGGCTTCAATAGCCCTGTTCTGCCAAGCTCCTGGGAGAACTGGTGGGTCCCTGTGATGCCAGCAGAGCTTCCATCTCCTCTTAGAAGGCACAGGGCTCTGGGCTGCAGCCTCACCTCCCTCAATGGGAACTGGTCCAGAGGCTTCTGAACTTGGTTTGACATTGACACTGCTCCAGAGTCTGGTGGAAATCTTGTTCACACAAGAGCTCAGCAACTTTCCCACACAGCTGGTGACTTTGCTGGTGCATCTGGAGTTTTTCACAGAACTGAGCCTTGCCCATAATACAAAGGAAAATCCTAGATTCTTCAGAAACCCAGTGTGCACCTGCTACTTTCTCATCTGCTGGGTCTGGTTGTTTTGCATCACCTCTGATTTTTTTCTTCCCCTTTTGCTGGTTTTTCATGGACTTCCCCTCCAGTCTCCTTTGTGGAACTCTTAGAAATGTGCCTCACTCTGCAGCCATGATAATCTGGGGTACCTGTATGCTCTCTTTGATCCAGTCTAGAGCCAACATTCAGACCATGAATGGGGAACCCTGCATGTGAGACAGCAGAGGAGACAGCAAGGCCCAGTGAGCTGCAGAGCGTCTGTCTCTGAATCTGGATGGTCAGGGAGGCTGCTGAGGACGAGGCATTTGACTGAGATGGGACAGAACTGATTTGAGAAAGTCAGGAGAGTGGTCTGTTTGGCAGAACCTTCTCCTGAGACTCTGGGAAAGGGCCTGGTTCCTCCCCGAGGGCCTGGACAAAGTAGACTGTCCTGGTTGGGTGGTTTTGCTAATCTCCTCTGCTACTGGAGAAGCAACTACCACTACCTGTGCGCATAAGCACGTGTTCAGCTGCCCTGCACATCTGTGCTCCTGGTGGCCACCTGTCTGGCTCCGGCTCTGGACTGCTTGTTCTGACTCTGTCTCACTGTCACATTTTGCTTCCCAGCCCCCTCACCCTTCACCTCCAATGTGCTCGACTGCCTGTCACACATGCTACCCACCCCCCCTCCTCTTTTTTTCTTTTTTTTGAGACAGAGTCTCACTCTGTCTCCTGGACTGGAGTGCAATGGTGCGATCTCAGCTCACTGCAACCTCTGCCTCCCGGGTTCAAGTGATTCTCCTGCCTCAGCCTCCTAAGTAGCTGGGATTACAGGCGCATGTCACCACGTCCAGCTAATTTTTGTATTTTTAGTAGAGTCAGCGTTTCACCATGTTGATCAGGCTGATCTCAAACTCCTGACCTCAGGTGATCTGCCCGCCTCAGCCTCCCAAAGTTTTGGGATTACAGACATGAGCCACTGCGTGCAGCCTGCCCCTTTCTTTTGATCTCTGCCTGTGTCTCTCTTGCCTGCTCTGGTTCCCCATTTACTTCCTCCTTTCCCTCCACCCAATAGTCTCCCCACTCCCTCTGTCTCCCTCACTCTCAAGTCCTTTCAGCCTCTCTGAACAACTGAACACATCCACCTGGACCTGGAGGGAAGATGGATCCTTACCCAGCAAGGCATGTCTGTTCTTCCTCTGTGTGGCATCCCTGTAGACGGCCCTTTGTGCAGGGCCTGGGTGCATCCATTCTTGCTGACAGAGGGATGCAGCTCTGTCGTCACACATGGCTGGTCCCTGTAACAACATTGGAGCTGCTGCTACCGATAGAATAGCACCAGTCTAGCCTGGGGTGGGGGCAGAGACAGGATCACAGTTGTCAGATAAGGGGCAAAGCAAAGGCAGGGGAGGTCACCCCCCGTGGGACAGGTGTAGGGCCATGTGATGATGTCAGAGTGGACAGAATCAAAACAACCCAAGAAGCCCAGGGACCACACAGAATCTTTCTCATGTCTCTGGAAAAGAAGGGGATTTTGGGGTGAGAGTGGGTACTTAGGAAACAGAAGGCATCAACCACAGCTCACCTGGAACCCAGCCGTCCAGACCACAGCACCTGTCTCCTGGTCGTGGAGACCTGTGTTTTGGGGCAGGTTCCTGGGAGCCTGAGGAGCAAGACAGGCTGGGGGAAAAAACAGCCGCTATTAGAGGGCGGCTTCCAGACAGCAGCACAGAGCAGAGGCTCTCAGAGTGGGCTCCTAGGCCAGCCCCTTCAGCAGCCCCTGGCAACCCATCAGAAATACAAATTCTGGGGCCTCACCTCAGATCCTCTGAATCAGAAATTCTGGAGGTGGGGCCTGGGACTCTTTTATCACACCCCTACCTCCAGATGAGACTGAGACAGACGCAAGTTTGAGAACCACTGTCAGAGCCCACAGCTGCTGTGAGGTGAGAGGCTCCTTTCATGAGATTCCTCTTGGCATAAGAGCGTTAATTTTTTTTTTTCATTTTAAGGAAAAATATATATGTTGGGGGAAAAAAAGTTAAAGAGAATCATAGTGGGAAACAAAAATCTCTCCATAGCCCTGCCGCCCAAAGATAACCACAGTACTCTCATAATACCAAAGATAACCACAGTACTCTCATAATACCAAAGATAACCACAGTACTCTCATAATACCAAAGATAACCACAGTACTCTTTCATGATACCAAAGATAACCACAGTACTCTCAAATACCAAAGATAACCACAGTACTCTTTCATGATACCAAAGATAACCACAGTACTCTCATAATACGAAAGATAACCACAGTACTCTCATAAAACCAAAGATAACCACAGTACTCTCATGATACCAAAGATAACCACAGTACTCTTTCATGATACCAAAGATAACCACAGTACTCTCATAATACCAAAGATAACCACAGTACTCTTTCATGATACCAAAGATAACCACAGTACTCTCATAATACGAAAGATAACCACAGTACTCTCATAATACCAAACATAACCACAGTACTCTCATAATACCAAAGATAACCACAGTACTCTCATAATACCAAAGATAACCACAGTACTCTTTCATGATACCAAAGATAACCACAGTACTCTCAAATACCAAAGATAACCACAGTACTCTTTCATGATACCAAAGATAACCACAGTACTCTCATAATACCAAAGATAACCACAGTACTCTTTCATGATACCAAAGATAACCACAGTACTCTCATAATACGAAAGATAACCACAGTACTCTCATAATACCAAAGATAACCACAGTACTCTCATAATACCAAAGATAACCACAGTACTCTCATAATACCAAAGATAACCACAGTACTCTTTCATGATACCAAAGATAACCACAGTACTCTCAAATACCAAAGATAACCACAGTACTCTTTCATGATACCAAAGATAACCACAGTACTCTTTCATGATACCAAAGATAACCACAGTACTCTCACAATACCAAAGATAACCACAGTACTCTCTCATAATACCAAAGATAACCACAGTACTCTCATAATACGAAAGATAACCACAGTACTCTCATAAAACCAAAGATAACCACAGTACTCTTTCATGATACCAAAGATAACCACAGTACTCTTTCATGATACCAAAGATAACCACAGTACCCTCATAATACCAAAGATAACCACAGTACTCTCACAATACCAAAGATAACCACAGTACTCTTTCATGATACCAAAGATAACCACAGTACTCTCAAATACCAAAGATAACCACAGTACTCTTTCATGATACCAAAGATAACCACAGTACTCTCATAATACCAAAGATAACCACAGTACTCTCATAATACCAAAGATAACCACAGTACTCTCATAATACCAAAGATAACCACAGTACTCTTTCATGATACCAAAGATAACCACAGTACTCTCATAATACCAAAGATAACCACAGTACTCTCATAATACCAAAGATAACCACAGTACTCTCATAATACCAAAGATAACCACAGTACTCTCATAATACCAAAGATAACCACAGTACTCTTTCATGATACCAAAGATAACCACAGTACTCTCATAATACGAAAGATAACCACAGTACTCTCATAAAACCAAAGATAACCACAGTACTCTTTCATGATACCAAAGATAACCACAGTACTCTTTCATGGTACCACAGTAACAGAAACCTTTTCTGTTTTTCAGGCCAAGATAATACATTTTTTTCTCAAATCTCCAACTTTAAGAATTGTACAGATATGACTGTGACATCACTTAAAAAATAGGAAAAAAGTTTTTAAAACAATTGTACAAATAAAATGAATCATGTTTATGACTTGTTAATGGAACTTCAGCAGCAACTCGGAGGTATGTGAACCCTGGGGAGGGGACAACACTGCTGGTCTGTGAGTGCCCTGTGGGCCTGGGAGGCAGAGGGAGCCCAGCCTGGAACACAGTGAGTCCTGCTTCTCTTTATTCACAGCCCCTGCTGTCCCAAAGCCTTGGAAATCACACACCAGAGAGCACAGGTGTTCCCGAAGATTAAAAGGAAATAAATGCTAAGTGGCAAAGTTTATAAAGATGTTGACAACAGTATTTACTTTGCTTAAAAAAATACTAAAAATTGGCCAGACGCGGTGGCTTATGCCTGTAATCCCAGCACTTTGGGAGGCCAAGGCCAGCAGATCACTTGAGGTCAGGAGTTCAAGACCAGCCTGCCCAGCATGGCAAAACCCCATCTCTACTAAAAATACAAAAAATTAGCTGGGCATGACGGTGGGCGCCTGTAATCCCAGCTACTCAGGAGGCTGAGGCAGTAGAATTGCCTGAACCCAGGAGGCAGAGGTTGTAGCGAGCCAAGACCACGCCACTGCACTCCAGCCTGGGCAATAAGAACAAAACTCCATCTCAAAAACAAAACAAAACAAAAAAAAAACCCTAAAATCTCTTAGACAGTTTTCTACTTTATCAACACAGGTTTACAAACTTAAACATCATCAAGACACAGTGTTTTTCAGGCTGGGTGTGGTGGTGCATGGCTGTAATTCCAGACCTTTGGGAAGCTGAGGCAGGAGGATTGCTTGAACCCAGCAGTTCGAGGCTGCAGTGAACTATGATGGTACCACTGCACTCCAGCCCGGGCGATAGAGCAAGACCCTGTCTCCTAAAAAAAATTACCTAACAACCTGTAATGGCAGCTTTCAACTAAACAGAAAAGGCAGCAAGTATCTAGCCAATGGAAAAAGACTTTAAAAATACAGAACCTTGGTATATCTGTGCAATGGAACATTATTCAGCCATCAAAAGGAACAACGTATTCATACATGCTCAAAACATGAAAAGCGAAAGAAGGCAGACACCAAAGGTCACATCGTGCATGTGACTCCACTTATATGAAATGTCCAGAACAGGTAAATCCATGGGGACAGAATGAAGAGCAACTGCTTAATGGGTACAGAGTTTCCTTTTCGGGATGATAAAAATGTTTTGGAACTAGACAGAGGTGACGGCTGCGTAACACTGTGGATATACCAAGCATCACTGAATTGTTCACTTGGAAATGGTTAATTTTATGTTATGTGACCTTCACCTCAATTGAAACGTTTTTTTTTTCTTTTTTGGGCGAGACAGGATCTTGTTATCATGCCCAGGCTGGTCTCAAACTCCTAGGCTCAAGTGATCCTCCTGCTTCAGCCTCCCAAAGTGTTGAAGTTACAGGCATGAGCCATCACACCCAGCCAAGATTTTTTAATTAAAAAAGTTTTCTAAAACAATTAAGCAAAAACAAAAAATAGAGCTCGAGAAGAAAGGCAAAAATAATAATGTATTCTGGAAAAGATTAAGCCGGATGGGGAAGGGGACTTAATGTCTTCAAGTATATGAAGAACTGCTGTGCAGAAAGTGAGGGCGGGTGACCATGTTCACCTTTAATGACACCTGATCCTTTTTTTTTTTTTTTTTTCTTTGAGATGGAGTTTCGCTCTTGTTACCCGGGCTGAAGTGCAATGGCGTGATCTTGGCTCACCGCAACCTCCGCCTCCTGGGTTCAGGCAATTCTCCTGCCTCAGCCTCCCGAGTAGCTGGGATTACAGGCACGCGCCACCATGCCCAGCTAATTTTTTGTATCTTTAGTAGAGATGGGGTTTCACCATTTTGACCAGGATGGTCTCAATCTCTTGACCTTGTGATCCACCCGCCTCGGCCTCCCAAAGTGCTGGGATTACAGGCTTGAGCCACCGCGCCCAGCCTCATTTTTTTTTTTGAGACGGAGTTTCGCTCGTTACCCAGGCTGGAGTGCAATGGTGCAATCTCAGCTCACCGCAACCTCCGCCTCCTGAGTTCAGGCAATTCTCCTGCCTCAGCCTCCTGAGTAACTGGGACTACAGGTGCGCACCACCATGGCTAGCTAATTTTTTTATTTTTAGGAGAGACGGTGTTTCACCTTGTTGACCAGGATGGTCTCGATCTCTTGATCTCATGATCCACCTGCCTCGGCCTCCCAAAGTGCCAGGATTATAGGCGTGAGCCACCGCGCCTGGCCGAATTTTTTGTATTTTCAGTAGAAATGATGTTTCACAATGTTGGCCAGGCTGGTCTCGAACTCCTGACGTCAGCTGATCTGCCTCTCTGATCTCCCAAGGCGGTGGGGTTACAGGCATGAGCCTCCGTGCCCAGCCACTTTTGGGATATATTT